TTCAGTCAGTACCAAAGATCTTCAGTTACCTAATTTGTAAACAGTGAGTCCCTGTTTTCTGCTTTTCATGTGGGCAAAAATGGAGAGATCATGTGGTATGTCCTGAAAAACTATAGTGAGCACCACTGACTAATTTAGAAATCAGCCATGCTTTTACCATGAGCACAGAGCATGATGCAGCAGGGGCTGCATTGCTCCAGGGGCAGACTACAAGACTGTGACTCAGCTGTAATGCAGTCTCTGGTCCCCATGCACTGTTCAGCAAGAGTCCCACACCTGTCACAATTTATTTCCACTCTCACGTGCCAGCTCAGTTCTACTGGCTGGTGCAGCATGGGGATCAGATCCAAAGCTCAGAGCAATCCAACCTACACAGACCAGAATTAATGCTACAAAGGGTGTTCTCTTTTCACACAGCAAGCTAATAGGTAAGAATATTCTTTGCCAGGTCCTTTCTGTCTTAGGTAGATATGAACTGAACTCCAGTCCTAATCTTCCAGTTTATAAGGATATTTTTGCCCCTGGAATATTCCTGAATGTAAAAGGACAGAAGAGAGAAGAATAACACAATATGAACCCCTCTTAAATAAATAAATAATTAAATACAACTTAATAGTTCAATTTTTACTTAGCTTCCAATATGTTTGTGTGGAAAGAGAAAGTAAAGTCTTAATTAGAAAAACATGGCTGTTTCCAAATAGTTTACTGAAAGAAGATAAATTTATAAAACTCAACTCTGCAGAAGTAGCCAAAGCCAGTATGGAAAAGGGAAAAAAAAAAAAAAAAAAAAAAAAAAAAAAAAAAAAAAGGAGAGAGAGAGAAAGAACAAACTTATCAAAAGTAAACAGCACATATCTAAATTTTAAATCACTGCACTTTGATTTGCAATTATTTTTTGAGCATACCTTCTACCACCAAATTTAAAATAAGCAGTGTAGACTTGTGGAAAATGAAAGCATAATGCACAGAAAATCTGCCTGTGAAAATCTGGCCCCACTGAAGCCAAAGTCAAAATTCCCATTGACTCTAGCAGTGCTGGGTATTTTTCTACACATACAACCTCCCATTGATGTGGAGTACAGAAGCTAGCCTGTAATTCCTTTTATCTTTTGTATATATATGTTTTGTTTTGTTTTGTTTTTTTCCTTTTATAATGCTTGTCATCGTGTGTTTGGTTTTTTTTTGCCTGTCTCCACTGGCAAGTGCTCTAGCCACACCTCCCAAGTCATAGAATCTAAAGGTAGGGCCTGGGAGAACGAAGTACTGCCCACTGTAGGAGAAAATCAGATTTGAGACCTTCTAAGTAGCCCAAATGTGCACAAGTCCAGGGAATGTGATAAGATTATCCTCAAGGAACTGGTGGATGAAGTTACTAAACCACTATCCATCATATTTGAAAAGTCATGGCAGTCCAGTGAAGTTCCTATTGACTGGAAAAGGGGAATAATAACCCCATTTTTAAAAAAGAGAAAAAGAAAGACCTATCAGTCTCACCATTGTGCCTGGCAAGATCGTGGAGCAGATCCTCCTGGAAACTATGCTAAGGAACATGGAAAACAAAGATGTAATTGGTGAGACCCAACATGGTTTCACTAAGGGCAAATTGTGTCTGACAGATTTGGTGACCTTCTACAGTGGTGTTACTGAACTGGTGGCAACTGACTTCCTCTACCTGGACTTGTACATTTGATACTCTCCTGCACAACATTCTTGTTTCTACAATGGAGAAATACGGATTCAATAGATGGATCACTTGTTGGCTAAGGAATTGGCTGGAAGGTTTCAAAAAGTTGCAATCAACAGCTCAATTTTGAGACCAGTAACAAATGGTGTTTGTTTGACCCCTTAAGGATCTGTACTGGGACCAGTATTATTTAACTTATTTGTCGGTGACATGGTTGTTGGGATTGACTGCACCCTCAGCACGTTTTCAGATGACACCAAGCTGAGTGGTGCAGTGGACACACTAGAGGGAAGGGATGTCATACAGAAGGACCTGGACAGGCTTGAGAGGTGGTCCTGTGCAAACCTCATGAAGTTCAACAAAGCCAAGTATTAGTTCCTGCAACTGGGTTGGGGCAATCCCAAACATGAATACAGGCTGGGTGACGACTGGCTTCAGTGGAGATGGACCTGGGGGTATTGATGGACCAAAACAATGAACATGAGCCGTCGATGTGTACTTACAGCCCAGAAAGCTAATCATATCCTGGGCTGCATCAGAGAAATGTGGCCAGTAGGTCAAGGGAGGTGATTCTTCCCCTCTACTCCAGTCCTGTGAGATCCCACATACTTTGTCCAGTTCTGAGACCTTGAAAGTAAGATATGGACTTGTTAGATTGAGTCCAGATGAGGTCCGCAAAGATAATCAGGGAACTGGAACACCTCTCTTACAAAGACAGGCATGGGGATTCAACCCCATCACTAGCAAGCCTGTTCCGGTGTTTGACCATCCACATAGTAAAGGAGTATTTACTAATGTTCAGCCTGAACTTCCCCTGGCACAGCTTCGCATCACGTTCCCTCAAATCCTATCATTGGTTACCAAGGAAAAGAAATCAACAATTCCCTCTCCACTTGCACTCCTCAGGAAGTTGCAGAGCACAGAGGTCACCTCTAAGCCTCCTTTTCTCCAGACTGGACAACCCAATGTCCTCAGCCTCTTCTCAGAGGACATGCCCTCCAGCAATTTCAACAGATTTGTTGCCCTTTCCTGGATGCTCTCAAGGACATTAGCATCATTTTTATATTGTGGAGCCCAGAACTGCATACAATATTTAAGGTGAGGCTGCACCAATGCTAAATATAGTAGAAGAATCACCTCTTTTGACCAGCTGTCTACACTTAATTAAATTCACCCCAAAACGTGATTTGCCCTTTTGGCAACCTGGGCACACTGTTGGCTCATGATGAGCCTGCTGTTGACCAGCACCCACAGATCCCTTTCTGCTGAGCTTCTCTCCAGCCACTCATCTCTCAGTCTCTACCTGTGTCAAACATTACTCCATCCCAAGTGCAGCTCTCAGTATTTTCATTTGTTAAACTTCATGCATTTGCCTGTCACCCAGTCAGCATAGGCAATTCAGATGTGAAGATTCTTTCAACAGTTAACTAGTATCATCTGAGTCGATGCAATCTCCTGCCAAAGAGTGCAGTAGGGCAACTCAGAATTAACTCATCTTTTGAACAAGTACAGCATTTGATCTATATGCTGAAGCACTTTTATAACCTAGCAGATAGGAAGAAAAGGAGTGCTAGTATGAAGACAGAAAGATATCTGAAACATTAAATTCAGACTAGGATACTATTTAAATTATTTAGGTTTTGAGGTTCTCTAAGTCAGTGGAAGGAAATTGGCATCTCAGGGGGGTTAAGTTTGACATTTCAAGTAAAATAGGGTGGCTGCATCTGCCTTGGACACTCTGTGACCATGAACCAGCTGGATATGGTTAAGTTACAAGTCACTTAACTTTTCTGAGCCTCAGTTCTTCATTTGTAAAATGGACTAATTGCATTCCACACTTAAAGAGGAAATTGGATTACTGAAAATACAGCAAAATGTCTGAAGTTTTCAGAAAGCAAACTAGTAAAGATCATAAAATTAGAGAAGATGATGGCTTATTGTAGATGCAAAAGGTGTCTGTGCATATGGGTGGAGTATAATGAATAGACACCCTTGATGGTATGCAGAGCAAATCACAGCATTTATGCAGAGCTGCATTGTGAGAAAAAGGTCTCAACTTTGAACAGGTTTGGTCACAGCAAGGAATGAACTTGACTGTCCTCTTTTTGGATTTCTGTCAGTGTATCAGTAGGGTGCTGATGCATAGAAAGACTTTACTGACTTCCATTTCCATGAGCATAGCCGTATCTGTCCCACTCCACTGCATGATTGTAGAGTAGGACACACACAATTAACAATCATTGATTTTATGATTGATCTGTGGTTTTAGGTATAAAACACTGTGAAAGAGGTGGTTTGGAGAATTCTTTGAAGTAAAATTCCTTGAAGTAAGATGATTTTGTTTTCTATTGTTAAGTATAGTGTAACAAAGGAAAAATGAACTTTCCTTTTCCTACAGCAGTGCAAGTTGACACTAGGCACAAACACAAAGTTCAGTTTGTTGTTATTTAAACTTCTTTAATCCTGGCTACTGATGCTTGTGGAGAAGGAAGGCATACTTGGAGAGAAGCCATACTTTCTCAAATTGATTAAAAACACCTTTTGAACAATAAATAACGTTAGGGGTCTGACCTTTAAATGCAATGATACTACAGAGTTCTGCAGTATAAAATAAGATTCCTGTTCCCAGCATTTTTGAACGTTGACTTGTCAACTACTCTTTTTGACAAGCTTCCGGCTTAAAGATCAGTTTTTTACTTCTTGTCAAACAAGTATGCCTCCAGTAGACTTTACAGGTTAAAAATATTCAAGAGAAACCAGCATATCTTTGCTCAGTGTGTGGGTAACTTTGGTGCTGTTTGATCACATATAGATAGCACTGGATAAATTGCTGGCATTGTTTCTTGTCATCTGATAAAACAGGGCAATAAATTTTACTGCAGGTTGGCAGCAGGAAGAGCTGCTGCAGGTCAGGTCTGAGGTGAATGGTACTTTTATAAGGATTGAAGGAGACAGTAAAAATTAATCAAATTGAAGGATCAGTAGTAATCAGAGACAGCCTAAAGCCAAGTGGTTTGGACCCAGCTTTTTTTTTTTTTTTTTTTTTTTTTTTTTTTTTTTTTTTTTTTCCCCGAATAATTGGTTTCTAAACTTGCAGTGAGAATGAGATTGCCTTTTTCTTGATCTGGTTTCATAATTGGTGTCTTCCATGTTCAATCCACAACATCCATTAATCATCATCACACACACAAAAATAAATAAATAAATAAATAAAGGAGGGAAAAAAAAAAAAAAAAAAAAGAGAGACAGGATAGCAAGAAAGTGACATACACAAACAAGGAATAAGGAAATTCAATGTGTATAGACATTACCTTACCCTGTGAAAGGACCTCACTCTGCCGGGATCTCACTTGAAAAGCTTGGCTGTATAAATGAGGAGTCTGAAAATGAAAGATATTGGCATTTTCACAAATGTTCTCCGGCTGTGGGTGCTAACCTACTGTTACCCAGATGCCTACTGAGTTCTCCTTGCTTCTTTTTCAGCCCCACATAAACTGATATAAAAGTTCTTGTCAGAAAGATATTTTAATGTTATTTCCCCTTAGTCCTAATGTATTAAGGCCCAAGTTGCCTGAACTAGCTCAGCTCTTTTCCAGCAAGAAATTTGCTGAAGTCTTTGTGTTTCTCTTTAGACACTCCTTTAGCAAACAGTTTCCATCATCAGATCTATTGCAACTTAGGATGAGGGAAGGAAGGACCTCTTATGCTTTTTATGAGTTTCAAATTGTAAATAAAAACATTGATTTCAAGCTAACTGTTGAGTTCAGCGTAACCTACTCTCTCTGCTATAGATGAAAACATTGGAACCGCAAATATCTTCCATGGGTTACCAGGTTCTATTGCAGTTTATAAAGAAAACACAAACATCATTAAAGCAAAGCATCTTCTTCAAAACTGTTTATTCAAGCTCCCAAGAGTCCTCTTCAAGACCTCAAAGAGAATCTAAATTTCAGAGATTAAGTATATGAATTCCAACCTAAGAACTCAAATGCTGCAATAGGCCCATTGCTTCTTGTAAGGAATGCTGTTTCACAGAATTGGAGAGCTAATTTGAGCCTTTTAAATAGACATAACACTTATTAAAAGGCAGGCAGAAATATAAATTCTGTATCAATTTTGTCTGTGTGACATAAAGCAGTAATGAATCATTAAGTCTAGAATATTTCAAAGCTAGATCATTATGTTATATACCTTGCATCTTCATAATTTGCAGTGAAAGACAGCCTTTGCAGAGAACAGCTAATAAAAAAAGGAAAGTGTATCTGTAATTATTTCAGACTTTAACTGAATGATACGGGTTCTCGTCCTAGTCTAAAAGAATTTGTAACACCAAGCAAAAGCAAAACTTCTTAGAGTGAAACATCACAGATAAGGGGGCAAATACAGGTCATCCTTGCAAACATTCTCATGATGTTGACGGTAGACATTTTCAGCATTTGGCACAAAAAATGAGCTACTCTAAAACTGTGATCTACATTTTCTTGCATACATAGCTGGTGCATTTGAGATAGACACCCTGAAATCTGTTTAATTGCATTAATTGCATTGAAACATATTTCCAGAAGAACAGAAAGGCTATCTGTGAAAAAGTTATGTTTTTTATGAACAGGGCAGCAATTTTTCTATGTACATCTGACTATTTCAGGTTTACAAAACCACCAAGGTGCCCCATGCTCATATCTACCATGATGCAAACTTCACGTCGGATCATTTAACAGAATGTGAAAGACCAGAGTCTTTGAATCTCGGGTATATTGCTTGTTACAATAGGTCTCTCCACTACACAACAGTCCTCTGAAAGCTCTTTATACCTATCTGAAATTTTGCATTATGAAAGGAAGGAAGGAAAGAAACCAAACAAAAAAGGCATTTTTTTTTCATGCAAATATCTACAATACGCCAAAAAAAAATAGTAACTTATATTTTTCAATATTATGATTTTAGATGCATTCTCAGTTCTCATGAAAAAGTACATTAATAATCGCTGAAAGCAATAATCTGACCAGAATTTTTGAATTTTAATTTGTGTATTTTGTTAAAATAGAGAATTTCAATGATAAATATACTTTTTTTTTTTTTTTTGAATTAAAATATTTAATACAAGTTTTTTTTTCTAGAAATTCTGTGGTTTGGTAGACATTGGTAGACAAGTTATCAGCAGATTTGCCCACTTTTCTGTTCTCTAAGTGTGCCTTGATCACTGAGAGGGGGGCAGAGAAAGAGGTGGAAGGAGGGAGAGAGAAAAATGTAGACTTTTTCTATGGTTAGTTTTAATGACTGGAAGTTGTTTGTGTAACTCTTGAGAAACTTGCACTTTCAGGGTAATCAATCTATTGTTTGGTGACTCCATGGCAAGGTGTTAGCCCAAGGTCAGCGAGGACCAAGAGGGCTGCCAAAAGCTCAGCCATTTTTGGTGGGCTGTGTGAAGCATCCAGAGAGGCAGTCCTCATTCTTGGGATAAGAAAAAGTATGATTTCCATTTCTACCTCAGTGTTCTTTTAATACTACCAACATCTAGGAAAAAATGGTGGCTTCAGTCCTTGGGGCCTTCACTTCAATATTTGATTCAGCTCTTTTCATATCCCAGGTAAACACCAGTTCAAAATACTAAATGATTTTCTTGAACCCAATGAAATAGCAAATTTTATTCACATAACTTTGAAAATCTGCCTTTTTAAGCTCTCTAAGCTCAAAGATTTTTCTAGATGACCCAGTGTCGCTGTAGATGACACATCAGACCCACCATTTTTAACTTACATATAAGCTCAAACTGTACCATTTAAGATAGTAAAACTGACCATCTCTAAGTTAGACAGTTTAACCTATATAAAAGTACTACTGAAATACTTTCTATTGGCTTTTACATGGTAAAATTGAGTAATTTAAATGATGGAAAGTTTTGTTATTTTTGTATAATGCACAAAACTCTTAATAGCTCAAAAGCTCAAAGTACCTATTTAACTTCACCGTTTCTCAAATATCAATATCATGGACATTGTAACAAGACAGGTATTCAGGAACAAGATTTACTTTTTTATTAAGAGAGAGAGGGAAAGACAACCCCCTAAAATTAATGTCTTATGATATTAAATTCCATGGGACATTATATTTTTGAGCAATTCAGTGTCTTTCAAGAAAAACGACAAAAAAAATCAAAATTAATTATGAAAGTAGAATTCTAAAATAATTAAATGTTTTATTTGAAAATAACAAACATAATAAGTTTGATCTTACCAAAGTAGTTTTGATTGGTTTTGTTTTATAAATAATTTCATTAAAAACTATTTCTTTTCATAAAACAAGTTGATTTCAGTGAATCAGCAATTTTTCAGTGGAAAAAGATTCTGTGGGAAAATTTCCAAGAAGCCCTAGTTGTGTTATCATCTTTGTGGTACTTGAACAAAATAACAAGGAGTAGGGGAGAGTGTACATACAACCCTAAGCAATATATAATTTATATTTATTTCTTTTAATGGGACTTTGAGGGGGAAAACATTTTGTTCTTTTTTTTTTTTTTTTTTCAAAATAATATTTGCTGAGATAATGTAAGTTATGCTCTGTTATCTACCAACATTTTTACAGGCAGGTCTTTTTAAATAAAAATTATTGATGCATTTCTTGAACTGGCGGGCTACTTACCATATATTTATAAAATTGTTACTAAAATACTTGTTCACATTTCCTGCATTATGAGGTTGAGACTCATATGCCCTTACAAATAAACACATACATGCAATCATGAGTTTGACAGCAAATCTTTGAGAGCAAATATATAATGAGCAGTCTTTGGGCAACACTCTTATATCTACTTAGAAGAAGTATTCTGTGAGGGTTTATAAGCATAATATTATGTCAATGTAAAAAGCTCACAAGAAAAAATAAAGGAGTTGAAATATATTTGCAAGACAAACTTTTCTAAAGGCAGTGTTGTAACCCAGAGAGAAGAAAGAGTGCATCAAATTAGATGTAGAGCTTAGGGATATGGTTTAGTGGGGACTTAGCGTTAGGTCAGAGGTTGGACTCGATGATCTTGAGGTCTCTTCCAACCTAGAAATTCTGTGATTCTGTGAAATAATTTTATTTTCCTACAAATGGATTGGCCAGCTGTAACAAGCACCATGAGGTTATTTTTGCAAAGGCTGCTGCATGCAATGCACAGAGTAGCTAACAACTTTTGATCACTACCTAATTTGAAGTACCTGAGCTAGCTCTCTCTCACATCTCCCATCCCATGAGCTTTCTGTTTATTTTCTCCATTTTGTAAATCCTTTAAACATAAAAATAGAAATGAGGAAACAAGTCTAAAGATGTGAGGAAAACACAGGGGGATGGAAGGGCTTTTAACAAGTTTTTGAGCCAGACACATGTTACCACATGGTTCACATTACAGACCAGTGTATTAAGAGTAGACCACCACAACACACAGGTGGAAGTGTGAGTCTGGGAGCCATTGAAGTTAGAATACTGAGAATTTTCCCAGTGTATCACAATTACAGAAACATCTGTGCTGAATAACTTTGTGCCTATCGCTGTGAAAATACGGTGTCCAACAGCCCTCAATATTTCTAATTTCTTATTTCTTTTAGGGTGGTCTTGTGTGACATACTATGATCACAGGTTTCAGAGCCATGAAACAGTTTATTTTTCACACCTTCATTTTATATGTGTTTACTGATTCAGAATTCTTTCCGTTTTAACATATACCATGGTAGATATTGAAATGAAAGTAAAAATTAGTTCAAAAGATATCTATGTAAGGGGCGGATCCTGTGTTGGATTTAGTAGATTTAAACATACATTTACACTAGCTTCAAAATTAGAAACCAAAACTTTTACAGTTACTTTCCCCTGGCAGTCCATGCAGTGTTGTGCTCTGCACTAGTAGCTAGAATAGCATTTATACAACAGCAGTATCTTGGCTGTTGCTGAGCAGTGCTGGTATAGCATAAATGCTGACTACCCCAACCACACACCCCCAAAAGGCTGGCAGGCTGGGGGTGGGAAAGAGACATTGCCAGGACAGCTAACCTAATCTGACCAAAAGGATATTCCATACAGTATTATATCATGCTCAGCAAGGGGAAGAGGAAAGAGAATGGGACTTACACACACTCTTAATATGAAAGTGTGGGTCTTCCAAAGCAACCACTACAAATACAGGGGCCCTGCTTCCATGCTGTGGCTGAACATCACTTGCTGATGAGAAGTAGAGAATAACTGTTTTCTCCTTTTGCTTCTTCACAGCCTTTGTTTCTATTTTTTCTTTTCCTTTAATTAAACAGCTCCTCATCTCAAACCATGAATTTTTTTTCCTTGTTTTTTTCTCCCCTTGTTCTTTTGACAAGAAGGAGTGATAGAAACACATGGTAGAGTTTGGCTGTCTCCCAGTGTGAAACTACTACACCCAGGCACTTAAGAACATTCAACTGATATGGGTTGGTCCTTTACAGTTTTGGTGACCACAAAAGGAAAGTCACTACTCCCTCAGTCATGTCCTCCAACTCAGAGGACCGCACATCCAATATCTATCATTAATATTAAAAACTGAACTTTAAAAAAAAAAATCATTAAATGTTTTCACCTTTTCCTTGTCTCTTCCTGTTAGGTGACTGTCTTCTCCAAGTATCAGTCCAATGTTTTCCTTAGACCTCCTCTTTTTGTTTACATACTAAAGTGTGTAAAAAGCCTTCATTGTTGTATTACACCACACTGGCCAATGTCAACTCAAGTTGAGCTTTGGCTTTCTTGTTTTATCCCTACAAATATGAACTGCAGCACTGTAATCTCACTGTGAAGCCTGACCTTGCTTCCAGAGATCATATATTTTCTTTTTCTACTCAAATTCCAATAGGAGTTTTACCAGTGATGGCTGTAACTCCCACACAGGAATAGCACAAAGCAAGACTGTACCAACTAGGGTACTTATAGCTATAAAATATAGCACACGTAGGACACCCCAGGTTTGAGCAATTTCCACTTGGAATGAGGCAGAACCAAGAAAAAAGTTTCTCTGAGATTCAGTATTCACAGAAGCCACTCCCACTCCTAGAAGGTTGAAAATATAGTGTCCTCTCTCCTCACCTTCTCCATCCCAGGAATACTTTAAGTAAATAGCATAGGCTAACCCTGTTTTTGTTGTCATTGAAAAAGAATCATTTAATAAACTACTGAATTTGAGCAAGAGATTCTCACAGAATGAGAAAAGCAACTCCAGAGGACAGTTTATCCTGTCTCTTAATAATCATCATTATAATGTAGAATGCATCAACAACCAAAAGGACTGGTATTTCTCCACTGACTATAGAATGAACAACAGTAACTAGTTTAAACTAGATGCTAACTTTCAAATAGGTGAAATCAGGTGTAAAGGATTTTGTCATCAATAATGTTGATGGGTCAAAATTCATAGCAGCGACAGGCTTCTTCAAGGCAGTCCTCCAGCTGTGCTTCAAAACAAATCTCTTCTTTAATATGCTAGTCTTTAGCTGACAGGTGCTTAGTAGAAGCAACAGTCTATGTTAGGGATTAGCTCTGCCCTTTTCCTTCTAGAGGCATTCAGCATAATTTTGCACAATGGTACAAGCATGAAGACAGGAAAAGCTCTTCTAAGAAAAGTGATGCTGAGGGTATATCTGGGACACAATCAAACCGTTTGGCTTGCCTGGCTACATTCCTTTCAAAAAGGGGATCTGCTTATTTGCAGTGTATGTACAATTATATATTCAGTCAAATCGAACCCAGATGTCAATAAATGCCCAGATGTTGAGTAAAACAGAGAAAGGTAGCAGAAATGGAAAATTCTACTAGTGCTGGTAAGCAAAATGTATTCTAACTTTATAGAGAGAACTGTCAGCCAAAGGAAAATTGAGATTTTGTGTAGATCTTGCATCAAAAGTAGTGTTTAGGATTAATGTAGATACCAAGTTAATATGAAAATTTACATCTGCTAACATAAAAGAAAAAAAAAATAAACTACATTTTTCTCCTTAGTTGAGAGTCTGTTCAAAATCTATACAGCAATGAAATCCTGAAAAAAGTGCTAAAATGTGAGTTACTCAGATATAGCCATAGGTTATTTTCATAAAGGAGATTTAGTGATGTTGGATACCTTGGGTCTAAAAGTCTTGCTTACCTTACAAGCTTTGTGAAGGTTAGACTTCAGGTTCATCCACACAAATTTCCAAATGTTTTTCTCCACTGCACTGCTAAGTCATCTGTTCACTGAGTGACAGCTCATAGCTGCACATAAGAAATCTACTGCATCTGAACATATCTTAGTTTCCAAAGGTTCACATTTTGGTCAAAAGGCAGTCAATGTCTACCAAATCACTTCCTCTCAAAAGAGGCTATTTCCATGTCAATTACGTGCCAAATTTTCTATATGGAAAAGTGACTACAAGTCCATTTTTTCTATTGACATTTTGTGTTTGGCTCCTCATCCTCTTCCTGAAGCTATTTTAATGGAAGCTATGCATACAAGGCAGAGTCTTTCAGTTATTTTTATGGGAAAAATAATGGTTTTGTAGGATTGTTTTTGTTTTGGGTTTGTTTTTTGTTTGTTTGTTAGTTTTTGTATTTTTTTTCTCAAGAATTGTTGGAACATTTTAAACATAGATTTCTGCCAAACAATCACATTCAGATGGGAACTATGAATATAAACTTTGGGAATGGATAGTGATCAATTAAAAAAGCTATGAGAGAATTAAAAAGAGGATAGAATGGAAGTGTTATGCAACCTTAATTATATTTGCCATTGCTCTTCCAGCTATCAGCATCACTAAGAAAAAGTAAATTATGAATCCTTTTAACATTAATTTGTATTGTTGCTTCACATTATTCTTGTTTGGCTCAATGAAATAAAAAGTAAATACATAAGAAACTGTGTTTGAAATATTGTTTATTTCAAACTAACATATTACTAAACCAAGAATATCGAGCCAATAGGAAAATTAATTTGATATTTAGAGTCATTAGCTTCACAATATCCATTCTAGCATTCTGAAAACATTCTAGAGTGATTGTTAAGACAAAGCTAGTGTACTAATAGATTGAGTGAATGACGATAGGAAGATGCACAAGAAGACAGATGAAGTCTAACTGTGCTTTAGGCCTAATGTTTCATTACCTTGCATATTAAATAATAACTTATGGAATTAACATGAAAAAAAAAAAAAAAGGTCATTAAATGCATATTCAGGACAAAATATGAGAACATCAATATTATTTAAGAAATATGGAAGCAAAAATAATATATTAAAATCTTTTTTTTTTATAATTAAGTGAACAAGGAGATCAAAAAACAGGTCTTCTCAGCCCTTTCCCTAAATAGGGTTGTGTGGCTGTTTCTTCTATAGTTTCAAAGACAACAAGCAGTTTGACTGATGAAGGGTTTTCCCTCATTTTCCTTGGTGTAAGGAGTGGTGTTGGTGTGGGGTAAAAACGCCATCTCACACTGATAAGAAATAACCTGGAGCCACAGAGATAACCATTCATGACATCCTCATTGTATAACCAGAGCCTAAAAAAATAGTAATCTAAGATGTTTCTAGGAAAGGAAAAATAAAGCGGATACCGAGATCATGTCACTTCAAGTAAATAAAGCAGTCCAGGACCCAGTCTCTGGCTGCAGGCTGAAGGACGTGGCATGACTCACTCCCACACAGCTGCATCCCCCCACCGCATCAGGATTGGGACCAGATTGTTCAGGCAGTTCCCCAAACCTTGCCAGGCATTGTGCAGGAGACTGTTCACTAGCTGCAGCCAAAACTGTGCCCAGGACCAGGCTAATAGTTTAACGGAAATTGCATGCAAGTGCGCTGACTCTTTTCATTTGCCAGCACTGACACTGCAATAGGGAACTGATCTGGGGGGCAATGGTGGAGCAGAAAGGCAGTGCTGCCTCTGCAGAGGGGACTTCTGTCTGTAAGCTTTTGTTACTCAGCTTAAAGGACTACTTTCAGGGTAAAGCTGTACATATTTCAATAGAAGATCAAGTCTCAGCAAGGGTTGCCTGAGTTCTTACTGTCTAATAAAGATTCAGCAAATTTATGTTGTAGTAAAAACAATTGGGAGTAAAATTTCTTTAAAAAAATACCCCATTCATCTGACTACAAAGTGAGTTGCAATAAATACAGTATTGAGAAACAGAGCAGCTTAGCAGGGTTGTAAGTGGTCTCTGCATTCTTGCTGCAGCTCACACACACACATACACGCACATATACCATCACACTCTCCTCCTCGTGCTGCTAAAAGCAAACAGTGTAGATGATGGACAAACACTGCAAGCACAGATGTGTCCATTACAACCAGCATGAACTGCGCTCGTGAGGAGCACTGTCACTTCTGAAAACCCGAGTGTCTCCGGCTGTGAAAAAGCAGTGGGGTGTGAGAACAAAAGAAAGAGATGTTGTGATTAAGGCAGGGCTAATGGTTCATTAACAATATCCAAGGCCTGGCCCTGCAGCTTAGAAGTTGAGGATTTATCTTGAAATTACCTTTTGTTTTTTTTGTCATTGTTGTTGTTGCTGTTCATTTCTTTTCTCTGCCTTTTGAAATGGATTTTGTTTCTACTCTTGCCCTTTTGTCTGATGGCTCCTAAAACATAAAGCAAATGAAAACACAGATTGAGTGAAAACAATATTTTTTTTTCTTCTTCATCTCTTTTTTCATCTCTATGTCTGATGTGTGAGTCTGAGAAGAGGATAGAGGGGAGAAGCAGCATTCCTTTCTTCAAGGATGGCCCTACCCTGGTATTTAGAGTCTAGCTTGGCAAACTCAGGGCATCCTTTAGAGCAGGTACAGTACTGACCCAAACCAGTAACACCACTAGAGACCTTTCCAACAGTTTAACAATGTCATGGGTGTGTAGCAGTGCCCATTTGGCACTGGATAATTTACTGTATAGACATGATGTTAGCAAGTCTCTGGAGTTGTCCAGATGTTCAGTGTTGTGTTCATAGTTGCCACTCATGTTGCCTCAGTTGTCACTCAGCTGCCTCACTCACTGAGGCACACAACAGCACATACTTTTATTTGGATGCCACAAAGCACCCTGCTGATGGACTGCAGCATGGCCTGAAAATTGTTTCAAACTGTCTGAACTAGGAGAAAACAAGCATACACACAACCATAACATAAAGCCATAGAGATTGTACATAATGTCTGAAGGAGCCTCAGGGTCAAGTGCTATGCACTGGGAGGCCAGTTGGTCTGCTACAGGGGGAGTCAGCCGTGGAGAGCTGGTGCATAACTGGGTGTCTGGGTAAGGGATTGCTCCCTGCCTCAGTAACCAGCACAGACAGTTGTTGATATTGGCGCTACAGTTCACAAAGTTCTGTTTTAGAGCACCCAGTAGTGACTCATAGCACTTAAAGTTTCCTTGATTGAAGCCACCTTAGGATGTGGTTTTGAGATGTCAGGAGGGAGGAATCTTCCTGTTCTTCCTCAGACACCGGAACAGAAATGTGCTCAAGTATTTCCAGGTCTCATTTCTGTCTTCCCAGCCAAAGACATGTCACAGGTCTGGTCCTGGTCAGGTAATTCTTCCTATTTGTACTGGTGGTACAGAATGATGTAGGCAGAGCAAACAAAAGCACTGAAGAGCATTTCAGGAAATGGTTTTGGAATTCTCTAGGCAACAGTGCATGTTAGCAAGGTCATCCGCAATCTTCAGTTTCATGTGGAAACCAATACAGTGTCACATCATTGCTGTGATGATTCTACTGTAAGTCTGGGGTGACCAAATAGTGGAGGTTATCCTCCACTACTGACAGCTTTCAGTTAGGCACTTCTATTTCCTTTACGATACCTGGGTTCCAGATGGAACATATACATATATACATATACAATATACATAAGCACATACAACCAGGGAGGTTGTGGAGTTACCTCTTTAGATATTCAAGGCCTGTCTGGATGCCTACTTGGGCAGCCTGCTCTAAGGAGCCTACTTTGGAAAGGGGGTTGGACCCGATGATCTTTTGAGGTCCCTTCCAACCCCTACAATTCTGTGATTCTGTGATATAGAGCAGAGAAATCCTAAACAATAACACATTTGATCTAGGAGTTATTTAAGTTGGTTAGTTGGGAAGCATTACATGCAAGGCTGTATCTTAAATCTCATGTTTTATAGTAATTCTTCAGGATATTCCTTTATCTCCTCTTCTTATCCAAAACCTTCTCTGGCAGTTGCCCCCTATGTATTTGCTCTCAAATGTGTAGTGAGGGTGACTCCTTTATATATAGTTTTACAATCCTCAGTACAAGGCATATATCAATGAAAAAACTAGTTCTGCAAAGAGCAAACAAAGGTTGATTGGAGGACTCACCTTGTGAGAAGTTGAGAAAACTAACTTCGTTCAGCCTAGAAAAGAGATAGTTTCAGGAGGACTTAACAACAGCTGGACAGAACCTACAAAGTTATTACCAGCAAGATGGAGGCAGATTTTTCATGGTGGAACATGGCATGAGGATGTCATACTGATAAATGATGTAAAATGAAACAGAAGAGTTTCTGACTTTTTAAAAAGAGAAGAGGTTCTGATTCTGTATAGGGAAAAACCTTTTTACTTATAGGACAGTCAGGTTTTGGAAGATGTTTCCTAAAGATGTTCAGTCTCGATCATCGAAGGTTTTAAAGACTTGAATGGAAAAAGCCTTGAGAAGCCTCATCTCACCTCATAGTTTATTCTGCTGAGGAGGCTGCACTAGAGGCCCACTAAGATCTCTTCTAATTTGATTTATCCTATGATCTGAAACTTATATGTATAAGTCATCATCAGCTTCTCTTAGTCAATGGAGAGAAACAAGAACCTCTAAAAGGTTATTCATCTGATCTAAGTCAAATCTCCAGCTTGGGTTGAGCTGGCTTGCCTGTATAAATTCTTATTTCACTCAGTAAACAGAACCCAATGTAAGTAATTTAAACTTAGTCACCTAACATACAGATCACTCAAATCTTGTGATAAATATCTCAGTCTTGTGTCCTGTCCCTTCTTTTGCCTGTTAGGATTCAAAATTTCCTCTCTAATGATTAAATCCTAGGCTGCTCCTGGAAGCAAAGAGACAGCCACAGGATACTTTGTGCAGACAGCTGTTGTAAGATATACAGGCTATATCTGTATTAGAGAATAAAATGGGAAGAAAGAGCTGGCTAAAGCAGTGAATGACAATTGTACTCCTTAACTGTTAACACCCTCTCTGTAACAGCTGTAGTTCCTGCCAGATACCACTCTCAGACATAAATCTCAGTACAGCTTGGGGACTGTGCCCAATAAGCAGTGTGGATATAGCTACCTCGTTTGGGAAAAAACACAGAAAACACAGAAATCCAAACTGTGGATACAAGGCATGCTTCCCCAGCTTGGGGACAATCCCTAGCCCTGGAGTAGGCAGTCTTGTTGCCCTAGCTTAGCCAGTGGACTGTCTCAAACAAAACTGGTGGGAGTGTAATCCTTTAATGATCACCAAACTTCAGTTTATAAAAACTATTTTATTTTCCTAATAACTAAATGACCTTCCTCTGCTAGCTTCATGACTGTAGATTAATATGCTCTGGGATCACTGCCCAGTCACTTCTGCCAACACAGGAGCCATTCCAGGAGACATGTTCCTCTGACTCCCTGGTTAGATTTCAGTATATTTCAGTTTTCCATTTGTAGATTATAATTTTTTCCAGCCCATGGTGTTCTGGTAACATACTAGATCTCTTGGAAAGTAGAATCAGCAGCAGTTTCCCATGCTAATTCATCTGCCACAGTGGCGGTATCTAAATGTCCACTTGAAATCTCCTTGGATAAATAAATCATGCCCTATTGTAGTGAATTATGTAGTGTTTTTTCTCTTTGCATCATCCTACTTCAGAAGTTTTGCACTAAGGCTGATTCTTAGAGAAAATTTCCATAGTAAAACTGTACAGTACAGTGTTCTGCATCAAAACGCTGATCACAAATGTGAACAATGCATCACTTTGAATCTGATCCTGCCTGGTTCTTCTTGTATTTTCAACTTGAAGTTCCTGTGGGAATGCCTACAAGTTATTTTAAGATGCTCCTCTAGAACAAATTAATTGCAGATACAGGCAGAAAATCTACAAGCACTTCCCAGGCATGGCTGGAGGCCACCCTCTCAACTGAGCAGAGCTCTTTAAGCTGTGGACATGACACCTCTCATTTTAAACCAAGGAAATCGTTTAGTGGTGTAATTAATTAGGAAATCACTAAGCTTGCCTGCACATGAGGTAGGTGGCTTTCTTACCATACTTCCCCACCTGTCCTCAACTTCAATATTTTTCTAGCAAATATATGAGTATATTCAACAATATTATTAGAACATCAGACAAGTTTCAGATAACTACTAGTGACATAGAAACCTTCCACCTCAGAAGGCATTTGCTTCAACAGCAGTAATTATATTAATCTTAGCTAAACTACCTGTATTAGAAGTTTGTAGATCATTATATGTGGAGCTTTTAAACTGTTTTGTTAGTGCTAATATCCAGTCCTCTCCATGTGCAATATTTTACAAGGATGGTGGGATAAGTGCCTCACAAATCCTAAGACGTGTACCCCTGCAGCATCAGAAGTTGTGAGTGCCACTGCATTGCATATAAATTAACTGGAGCTGACTCTCTGAAGCATCTGGCACTGATGCACCATTTTGAAAAATATAAGCAGAACTACTCTTCTCAGAGCAACCTTTGTGCAGCTGTGTGCCAGGTGGGGATGATGGCCTAGGCCTAGAAGAGTGATAGGATCCTGGGATATTTTGTCACAGTACATGCATAGAGCTAAATGAAGGAATACATATGGACTAGAGGTTTAAACAGGTTTGACAGAAAGATCAGCCAGGTGAGGGGCACAGGTCTGGAGTCTTGATTTGAGGAACTTAAAGAGGACATGGAGTTCAGAAGCCAGGAGATCAGGAGCTGCTCTAATGTTTCTTCTGAGAGCAATCTTCAAACAAACACAGTTTGAGAAACTCCCATTTTAACTCTCTTCCTCTGAAGGGATACCAGTACTATGCATAGACCAGAACACCAATCCTGTGCACACTCAGCTACAAACCTAGGAGAGATCTTTTTGCTAACATGGGGAATGACTACAAGTGATGCTATATGTGCATACAGTTTGCATGCTACTGTGATATACTGAATAAATAATAATAAGTATAAAAACAGACCTACATTTTAGCAGCCATATCTCATCTATATTTGTAGATCCACAGTCCTAAACATAATAAATATAGCTGAGATTGTCCAATATGTATTTAATGCAGATATTCCAGGATGCCCAAAAAACACATTGAAATATATGAATTGATTACATAAGCAGCATTTTTAATGAATAGGGTCTATAGATTTTATAGTATTTTCTCTCTCTTGAATCTTGTAAAATACATGGAAGTCTTAATTATAGCTGAAGATATCTGAACTATGTTGGCCTTTGATTTTATACTACAATATGTAATTCCTGCTGGTGTAATAAACCAATAAACTCAGTATTGTTATAAATGACTTTAAATTTATAAGTCTATCAAAATACCTCCTGGTTCCTGTTAATGTTTAGGAAACATTTCAGAAATATTTCAGGTTCCTG